TTAGGCCACTGGAAAGAAATGCGTCCCCTCAAACAGTGTCTTAAGTTGTGTCAGTGTTTCAGTGAAGGATGGCAGTAGCCAGAGCTTTCTGATTGTAGGAAGCTTTAGGGATAGGAGGAACATCTTCCTAGGGCTACTATCATCTTGCCTGATTCATCGTAACTAATGTTAGAAAGTCTCTATTGCTGGGATTTGGACAGTTTTAGCACAGTATTAATATGGAGCAGGCTTAGATGACTATTCATGCTGCAAGAGAAGACAGAGCCCAGATGTCTCTCGGCTGTGCTGATGTTGCTAAAAAGAGCCAGAAGGATTCAGTTGACTCTAATGCATCACTCAGCATAGGGTTGCCCAGTCCCAGGACTCTGTCACCTATCGCTGAGCTGCAAAGTCTAGTCTTGAGCTTCTCACGGGTTTGCTAACAGCTGCTGTTGCTGCCTGCCTTTCGAAAAAGGCCTTCAGCAGAGAGATTTCTTTTTGCTTTCAACAGCATTCTTAGGAAGATAATCCCATCCGTCTGCTTTAGGAGATTACTTAGCCCCCTATCTGTTGTTTGACTTTTGTATGCAGAGGCTAAAGGTTGTTTTCTTAGAATACAGTGTGCAGGTAGAATTAACTGGTCCTTCTGCCTATGGAGTGAGACAGCTTAAACCTGATTCCTTTTACCAGAAATGACTCCAAGCTAGACTTTTAAATATGCAAATTACATATTTTTAGGCCCACCCATAACTCTGTTTCACTACATAATGACATGCTCTATAATAACAAGACTCCTCCTCACCCCTGAGCAAGGAACTGTGTATGTATGTGTATACTTCAGAAAGTGTGCATGCATATGTGTTTATATGTACCTGTATTTACATACATATAAATGGGGAGGGTACTCTCTTTTAGTCCTCAGCCTCCAGGCTTACAGACGTCTTCAGTCAACCTACAGAAATTTTTCTTTAGGCCTTTTTACACTATCAACCCAACTAATGGTGTTTTGATACAGTCAGAAGAAGATAAGAAGAATCTGGCCAGGATGCAGGATCTGATTGACAAGCTACAACTAAAAGTGAAGAGCTACAAGCATCAAGCAGAGGAAGCTGTAAGTAACTATTTGGGCCTTTTAACCTGTGAGATATTTATTGTTCTAAACCCACAATCATTACTTCATAGAAGCTTTAGTATAAATGCACATTTTGTGCATGTATTAATATTTGTATTTATATTCATATAAACCCTGTAGGTATAAAAGTATTTATAATATATATAAAATAAAATATGTAGCATATGTGTTGATTATATATATAAAAAAGGTATTAAATTTTATCTTAAGATTGCAGTATAATTTGCAAGGAAAGGGGGGGAGGGAAGCAACAGGAAAGTCCTTTTTTCTCCTAGTCCCTCAGAAGGCATGTTGAGACCCTCCCAGTTCACTTAACATGGAGAGTGTCACTGGAAATGTCAGCTCTGTGAGACAACAGTCTCAGTTCTCCAGGAAGCAAGTGGTTCCCATACAGCTGTTACCTAGTCATGCTGGGCACTTTTCTTCCTGCTTGAAATGGAAAGCTTTGTTTCGCATGGACAGGAGGAAACCAGCTGCACTGTTTTCTCTCAACAGGAAGCTCAAGCCAATCTGTACCTTTCGAAGTATAGAAAACAGCAACATGATCTGGATGATGCCGAAGAAAGGGCTGAAATAGCTGAATCTCAGGTTAATAAGCTGAGGAGCAAGTCAAGAGATATTGGCATGAAAAAGGTATGGTTATACCATATGGGGTAAATGTGACTCTTCAATACACAGTAGGAGATGTTATGTATGCAGTAAGATCTGTTGCATCTCTTGAAGTAGCACGGACTAGAATAAATTGTTGTTTACTACGTTTTTTAGTTTCAGTCTACCCTTTATTTTAACATTAAGGTAAGTCTTTAGGACAGCAATCTGATGCTTAGACAAAATTAATTCTCTGTCCTCTTGATGTTGTCATCTAATCTCTGCGTTCAACAGCCATAAATTTCCAGAACTGTTGGTTTGGGGTTATTTTGCAAGCAATGTTAAAAAGCTCTATCTTTTTCTCCCTCTGATGATGTAGATTTCTGTGTATGTAATACAGCCTGGGGACTACTACACTTGCAGATTGCCAGATATTCTAACACTGCTCTTCCAATGAACTTGTATTGATTTGAAGACCTGGATGAAAAGAAAATATTAGTGATAGTCACTTAGCTGCTGGGAAGTCATTAGTAAATAAAAATATATTGGTGGTGTTTTGCACTTGAGCAGAATGGTATTAGAGTAATATTGATGAAACTAAAAGGTGCCTAAGAACTTGGTCTAGAACGGAAAGAAACCTTTGCTTATCTATGCTTGCCTTGTGGCATCCAGGTCAAGTAAGAGTGGGGTTGTTACTTGTAGGAGTGATGGAAAGAGAAACTGGGTCATTGCTGTTATGTATTTCATTTGCAAGTGTAACAAAATCTCCGATGCTTAAGGTCATATAAGTTTCATGGGGGTAACAGTTCCACCATATGTAGCTCCATTGTCTAAGGTAGAGCTACAATAAAACTAGATGAAGATCTGGTCTCTCACGTTCATGTATGAAGAAAGCAGTACTGCATCTGAAGCTCACAAGTTCTGAAGCTTTTAGGAGTAAAAGATTCCAACATATTATTTTTCTTTAAATTATTGCAGACTTAGGGAAAAAAACCCACCTCATATAATTTCACAAAGCCATGGCATCACACAGACACTAAAATAGGTAAACCATAAGAGTAATTTATTTCTTTAGATACTCTTAAGAATGCCATTTATTCCCTCTATCTTACTAGTACCCTCTTTCTGTATCAAATATGCAAAAGTTATAGAAAAGTAGGTGCCTGTTTTTATTAGTCAGATGGATTTGGCAGCTCTGGCTTATAGTAGAGTATTACACTGGCAAAAGATGAGCTCAATAGTACACGCAGTGTCGTCTCCACAAAAAGGGACTTGTGGCAGTAATGGCAGTAGCTGCCACAAAACATGTTCAAGAAGCAAGTGCTGTCCCAGAAGTCATGACACATCCCCTTTAGGGAGAGAAAGGCACTGGCGAGACTGCTTTAATAGTGTGGCATTAGAAATACCTTGTCTCCTGCTACTACTACCCATGTTCCTGGAAACACTAGGAAGCATGTGTGATTCAGAACAAACACCAACAAGCATTGAAACAGGGTTGTATAGAAGTCATCTGCTGTCAAAGGGATATATACCCTAGCATGAGGACAAGAAACCTATATCACTAGCTGAAGTAAGATGGCAAAGGTGGGCTAGATTGGTGGTAGTCTATTTCAGATACAAACTGGTAATACCAGAGAGCAGAAGCATCAGTGAAGACAAGCTTTTGTCATTTACTTGTGAACTTACCCTAAAACCCCCTCAACAGTTCCATTTTTAACAGCTGTATACTATCTCAATTGCATTTCAGGTTCATGAAGAGGAGTAAGTACAGTCCAAGCTGACAGATATGAGAAGATGCTTGATATAAACAGGCACAACTGAAAGCAGATGTAGAAAAAAATGAGCACTTACAGAAATAAACATCAAGTGAAAATCCAGAGACTATATAGTGTATTCCATTCATTTATTTGTGTTTCTATTTTGCCAAGCCCCAGGGATCAATAGAAGATTCTATCCTGCCAACAGCCCACTTCATTATGTTGGAACAAATCCTAATTGGCAGATATCAGACAAAATCAAAACCAAGGGCAAATCCAGTCACGCTTCACAGTCTCATGTATTTCATGTGCAGATTGTTAAAGCAGCACAGATGAAACCTGTGCAGCGGGGCAGCCCTTAAAGATGAGTTAACCCAGCTTCCATCTGTCCTGCCAGTCGGAGTCTGTAGGAGTTTTGTAGGAGAGCAGAAAGTAAACTTTTTCATATGAACAGTCAGTTTAGAAGCTTCCACTACTACAGCCAGAGGACTTTTATTCACCGGCTGCAGGACAGACACAGGAGGTGCTGTGGACAGACATGTCCCATCAGGACTGCCTGTGGCTCAGAAATAGAGTGTTCTCTTAGATGCTTTCCACTTTTAAACCGGGAAGTTGGTTTTGCTTGAAATTAAAATATTAAATGAATTGCAAAACAGTAAGCCCTCTCTTTTCCTCATATTGAAAACTAAAAAAAAAAAAATAATTCCCTCAAAACTTAATCTTCTTCTGTGGAAACTTTTTCATTGTCCCTTTAGGATATTGTGCTGGGTTTCTGTGGCGGATTTTTTGGTAGCAGGGGAAGGGGCTACAGCAGCGGCCACTTTGAGAAGCTTCTTGATAGCTCCCCCAGCTCCAAGCTGGAGCCACCTCTGGCCAGGGCCGAGCCAAATAGCTATGGTGGCTGTGCTTCTGTCAGAAAATATTTAAGAAGGGGAACCTGGGAGGGGCTGGGACTTGTGACGAGGGGTTACAAGAAGGACGAACACCTAGGTCAGTGGAAGGAAGCGGCAGGGGGAGGTGTGCTGGAGCAGAGACCCCTGTATCCCATGGTGAGAGGACAGGGCCTCCTCCCTACCACCCACGGAGGTCTGTGGTGGAGCAGAAGCTGACCCGGGGCTTGTGGAGGAGCCCACATTGGAGCAGGAAGCTGCACTTGAAGGAAGTTGGGACTCTGAGGGGAGAAGCGGCCCCCACTGTTCTAGTTCAGTGCTGGGAGGACTGCGACACGTGGGGGTGACCCACACTGGAGCAGCTCGGGAACGGCTGCGTCCCGTGGAGAGGACTCACACCGGAGAAGGTTCATGGAGGACTGTCTGCAGTGAGAGGGGAGCCACGGAGAGCAGGGGAAGAATGCGTGGCATCCTGAGAAGGAAGGAGCGGTGAGCTGACTGGAACCCCCATCCCCTGCACTGCTGGGGGAGGAGGTGGAGGTAGAGAGATGGGGAGCAGATCTGAGCCCAGGAAGAAGGGAGGGGTGGGAGGAGGTGGTTTTGGATGTGGTGGCACTTCTCACCATCCCACCTTGTCTGTTAAGGGTTGTCTTTGGTAGTGTCTGAATTAAAGTGATGTTGTTCTTCCTCTAGAGTCTGATTTTTGTGGCAATGGGTCCCTGTTCCTCCTCTGTTGCATTCCTAGTCAAAACAAAAATGTCTGTAAGAACTACTGATGTTCAAAATTAATCCTCTAGTGGGAACAGAACAAAACACACTCACTAAAAAGATAAGCCAGTACACTATAGAGATAAGCCAGTATTTTCCATTTTAACATTAGCTGAGTAAAATAAACATGAACAGTGCAGAAACATTCCCGTTTCTTCCATCTAGTCCTCCATCAATGTAATCAAAGCTGAATTAACCTGTAAACTGTTCCACTTCCTCTGATTATGGTATGTTAAAGGTCTCAACAGGTCCTAAGATAAATGAATCTTGTTTAAATTCTTCAAATTAAACAGCTGCATCTCAAAAGTGTGTTATCATCTCTAAAGCATGTTAGCATTAAAATTGACTAATAAGAAGCATGCAAGTGATTCTCTAAGTGAGAGAAAAATGAAAAAAAGACTGAGACAATAATTTTTGAGTTGTCTTTCTGGTATGTTCCTGTTGAACCTCATGGTAACCATTATAAAATGTCTCCTGAATCTTACCAACTTCAGGCTGTGACAAAATCTTAAGGCCCAGGGAGTTTGAAGGTTTATCTCTCCATGAATAGGGGTGTGGTGTCTGATGCAGAAATATATTCCCTTAGAACTAAGAGCTAAAGTTCATTTTTTAAGGATACTCACCACAAATGCAGAGAAAGGAGATAAAATACTATAAGACAGAACCACCCTATTACAAATGCTCAAGAATAAAATGCATCCACTTGAAGGTGCTATACTCTAGTAGACAGGAGAGATGTACAGAGAGATGAGATCAGGAACCATATGATTATAACAGTCTTCTAAACAAAGCAAAGTAGCATAACTTTTCACACTGAAGTTTTGGTGAGCTTTGACATCAGATATACTTAAACTAGTAATTTGAGCCCTAATGAAGATTAGGTACGTGTACTGTTTGAGAGAATTAATGTTCTGGTTTGGTATTTTTTTGGTCTTAAACCCAAGTAAGAGAAAATTAACCAGTTTGGTTTTAGATAAAGTTATCAGAAAGTATTTGTGAAAGGTAACCAACATTTTAACCTTTTTATAGAGCACAGGAGAGCATCTGGTCAAGGGAAGGTCATATTTACATTGTAACAACCAAAATACTACTGCATACATGTGCCAGAGAGGGCCTTCTGCACACAGGAAATGGCAAGAACAAGGATAATTCATGTATGCTGAGATTTATCATCCTACATTTCCAGTCTTTTTTGTATGCTTTAACCCATGAAAATCAAATTTATGTTTTGGTCAACATTCAAGGTCTGGATTTAAGCTTAATAGTATCTTGAAAAATAAATCCCCTAATGATCATACATACCTTGTACCGTGAACAGAACATTGCTGCCACAATCACTGCGACGATCACTGCAACAATACTGCCACCGATCACTGGCATAATTATCCTGGTGTTACCTGAATTATCTTTAAGAATACAAATTCCAAAAAGTTTAACAGAAGTGCTTTATATCGCAAATTAATGTTCACTGTTGTTCAATAAGCATAGTAAAGCTACGTTTTTTTTCTCTTATTTATAACCTAAAAATTACAATTTAGGGAGAATGTCTCCGTTTCTTTTTAATGTTCCTAATACAACCGTGTTCAGATAACTTGACCCATACTATAAGACCTTAAAGTGATACTTTAATGATTTAAGTGTGGATAGCTGAAAGTAGATTATTTTACTTAACTGTGCTGATACAGAATTCCATGTGTGCTCATGTAATGTGATTTGATGACTTCTTAATACAAGTCTCATTTAAAAACAATCAACTGCCCAGTCTGGTAAACACTGCCTCCAAGTACAGTGCTCAGTGCCATTAACGGTACTGCTGCTTTCCAGTAGAACAACTCAGTAAGCGTTGACCAGCCTGGACCACAGATTTAATTTCTGTTGCAAACCCTTTGCAACTTTAATCTAAAATATTTCCTAACTTCATGATGCAACCATGCAATCCAGGTAGGCACAAGAACCAGCAGATTCTCAGGTGGGTAACAACTAATTCCAGAGGAGATAAGAGTCCATCTAGCAGAAATCTCTGCGCAGCATCAAGTGTCTCATCACTCCAGCCAATTTCAACAATGTTAGAACACTGGGACCCAGAGGACTCATTCCTTTAAGTACGGTTCTTTTACTTCAGTCTTTCTTCCCACTGCTGCATCTTGTCCAAAGAATTTGAAAAATTCTACACTCCTCTCAAAAATGAGAATTGCCAAACCAGAGCATTTAATCTAGTCATTGCCTTTAGCTTGGCTCTGTCCCCACATGCAGACCTATGTTCCCATCTTGTCAGCTCCTTTGTAGAGCAGCTTTGAGCTGTGACCCTTCCTTACGCAGGAGAAGGCCTCCAAAAAGATTGTAAATTCATCTCGCTTTACCCCTTAAAAGTTTTCTTTTCAGTGGCATTTGGAAATCTTTCTGGTGGTTGAGCAGCTGCTGTGCTATGACCACTATCCAACATACTGATCTAGCTCGTCCCCTTACACCCTAGTGTCTCTAGCTGCTTATCTGCTCTCAGCCTGTGCTGCCACAAAGATGCCAATCTCTCTGGTAAGTGTCTTCACTGGTCTGAATAATGTATTTCTGGTTCACGAGTAGGAAATTTCTGCGAGTGGCACAGTAATTTAGCCACTAAAGAAAGGATTTCTATCACCTATGGCTATTGTAAGATTCATCTGCAGAGCGCAGCTAGAGAAAGGCATTTGCAGAGGATGATCCTGAACATATTTGGACGGGATACGCGCGTGTTTCTGTCTCCAACAAATGTACAGGGAGACCGATAGACGTGTGCATGTAAGGTAGGAGCAACAGCTAAACGTGTAACTCCTTGGAAGTGTTCAATGCTTTCTACTTCAGAAACACAGTATTAGGTTAAGTTAACTTAACCTAAGCACAATATTAAGTTAAATTAAGTAAGATCATGCTAGAATTTGAACTGTAAGGGTGTTTGTCTGACTTAACTGTTTTCTTTAATCTAACTCCCCTCCTTCAGGCTGCATATATCCACTGCCATTTAAAACACACCTTATATCAAGTTTTCAGACTGAAACTAAGCTATCATGGGGGAGGGAGAAGAAAGGAAGAGAAAAATATGCAGTTGTTATCACTTATTCTAGCCCTTTTTCTCCTGCGTTGCCTCTATATTTCATATCCTACAGGCTTGTTTCAAGTTCTCTTCCTCCTTAAAAAAAAAAAATAAATGAAGGGCCCTATATTAGTTCTGGTTTTTAGGTGATTGTATTGAATTGCATAAAATGCTTATGTGCTACTGTTTGAATGGGGTATGGAGTTTTTTCTCTTCTGTTTGGACTGAGATTTAAGGATGATGCATCCCCAACAGCATACTATTTTTGAACAAATGTGTAATTTATTTCCATTATAATTTTAGAAAGTGGGAGTCGATTTTTTTAAACCTTCAGTAAGAGTTTTCAATAGATAGAAGAGTTAATAAGTTTCCTTGAAATGGGGGACAATGAAATAACTGTAAGTAAAACTTCACAGCTGGAAATCTACTACAGTTTATAAAAATACAGACATGCATATAAGTATATGTAATCCCAAGTCTAAAAAAGGTCCTGCTGTGTAGAATTAAAGCTTTGAAAATAACAACTGTGTATTCTCAACAAGGTTTCTTCTGCAGACAAATTTATATCACATCTTTGGGCTTCTCTTCATCTCCCTGCTACCCTTAAAGACCGTATTTGGCATCAGCGGAGCATTTAGAACATGATGCTGGGATTTTCCGTGTGCCCTCAGCTCTGAGGCAACAGAGGGCAGCCATCAATTTTGAGACCTTTGCCACAACAAGCTGCTGACTGAAGAAAAATAAACTTCAAGTCTTTAAATAAATACATATTAGGTAAAGGGTTTTTTTTCCTGGGACAACAACAATAAAGTATCTCTTCTACCCACCTATACTAAATACACAAGATGATTTTTCTCAATATTTTACAGATTTCTGATGGAGCCTTTGGCTGTGCATTCCCCTCACTGGTCCCCATCCTCCAAAACAGAGAGAGCAGTAACTTACCAACTTGCAAAGTTCTCACAGTAAGTTTTGTGTAGTGATGTGTTGAAATATTACACATATATTCTCCGCTGTCACTTGCAGTAAGATCGTGCAACATAAGTGAAAAGTCATTTTGGTTAATCTGGACTCGAGGCTGGTAAGAGTGAGATGTACCATTGAAGGAAGCCAGGACTGAAATCGCTGCATTTCTGTTTAATGTCCAGACAACACTGAAACCTTCAGTGTTTGCAGTGACATTGTTGAATTCACAGGGAATTGTAGTGCTACTTCCTTCGAAGTTAGACAGTTGGTCTGAAACAGATAATTGAAGAACTCTCTGCACTTTTTTTAGAAAATACTGTGAAGGTTATTTAGACATTTTCTGAATTTTTTCTGAAGCCTGATACTACTGTGGACAAATATAAAAATGTATTACACTGTTTTGATATCATATTCAGTCATGACAGTATGCTTCCAGAAGCATCTGAAGATTTTTAAAGCAAACCTATCTTATAGTAAAAAAAAAAATCTAGTTGATATTATTTATACTATGAAAATTAATTTATTTTCATTTGCCTACTTCTCCTCTAAGTGGGAGGTTCATTAATAAAAGTGACTCAGCCTAGTCTAAGTTACTGTGTAAAGTAGTATGAAATTGTACATGTTGGAAGCAGAGAGAAAATGCAACTAATTGGGTAGCTGCACACTGAAAGCAAAAGGGTAAAACTACTACAACATAATTTAATTAAAAGACTAAAAAGATTGTATTTCGTTAGAAGTAACTTTCAGCTATGGTGGACTTAAGTACTTTACCAGTCTAAGTGGAACACTTACAATTAATGAATAGCTTTAAAAAAAAGGAGAAGGAAGGAGAGAGAGCAGGTAAGTGGAACTAGTAACTAATCTGTAAAATACTAATATAAGACAAATTAATATCATAGCACAATTATCAATTTGACAGCAGGGATTTGCTGCAAAGGAAGGAAAAATAGAGGAGGCTGTGGTGGCTGGCAGCCGGCTGGAGAGGAAACGAGTATGTTATTTTGACATGGTGTACGTATGCTTGGTTTCTGTGTGTGGGGCTGAAAGAACAGAGGTGTGGGTCTGAAAACCATGAGGACAAAACAAAACAAAAATGTACCCCACACTGCTAATAAATAAAGAAAAATAAAGCAGTGTATTTTCAAAATGTTCCAGTGAGAGGATAGATGGATGCAGGGAAATTCAAACAAAAGTGTAATTAAATGTAACTTTTTGTCCAGTGGATCGGAAGGACAGATTAACAAAATAGACACTTACAAGTGCACTTGTTACCTACTGTGATGCCATACTTGAAACGTTCCATATTGTAAGCTATTGTATGTAAATTAAAAACTGCACTCTTGCTCTGAAGCATATGCAGTGGATCAGGAACTGAGAATGTCTGAGTACACTTTAGGAGGAAATCAGGGCAATGGAAGCAGCCATGCACATCTCAAGGGAATTGCTCTTGCATTGCTCTCGATCCAATTAAAAAATATTTCCTAAGAAATAGGAAATTTCAACATCCTAAGATGTTAAAAAGCACCAGTTAGTTACTTGAACTGAATTTCCAGTGAAATTCAGGAGGAAGACAAAACAGATAGTTGAAATATCATAGCTCTGGTTTTCCTTAATTAACAAAATGAGCTGCTGCTTGCTCAAACACCAGCAGTGCTTGCTGCTCTCCACTCCCACGCACGCCCAGCATTCAGCCCGGGCACTGGAGAACGCACTTGGAAGTACAGTGAAAGGCTCAAACGGTACTGATAAAAGTCTGGCAAATGTTGGGAAATAGACTGAGTAAGGAGCATACACATCTAGAGCAGCAGGCAAACTTTCACCTCCCTCATATAACGCACGGGTTCACTAAGGTTTCCATGTATTTTGTCTGAGTTCATTCTTTGCTTCATAGAGGGTAAAGTCTGAGTATTAGGCACCTTTTGAAATGGAAGAAATGTTCAGAGTAAAGCTAACTTACAGAAGTGTAAGCCACCCCCCTATCAACCCTATTTCTTGGACATATGCTGCCTTGTAATGTAACAACAGATGAGTTTCAAAGAGGAAGGCACATCCTTTTGCACCTTCCCACGTCAGTGCTGGACCCCTGCAGAAATACTGTATTTCATTTGGCTCTGAAACCACCTGTGACATTCAGTAACAGTGCAGGAAGAGATTTCCATTCATTCCTACCTCGCATCTTCCATTCAGCAGACCACTCTTCATGAGGGAGATGAATATAACAGTAGTAAGGATCAGCTGTGTTTACAATGTTCTGGTTACTTCTAAGAGAATAGAGAACTCCATCCCTTGTTTCCTCCCGATTTGTTTCCTGTATGGATGTATTGCCTTGTACCCAAGATATACGTGGTGCTGGATAAGTGAGAAAGGCATAGCACTTCAGTATCCTTTCTGTGTCTGTCTTTTGGTATTCCAGTGCATAATAAGAGGAAACTGTAGATTTGAAAAAAAAAAAAAAAAAAAAAAATCAGTACTACTATGTTCAAAAGCCTTTTTAACTTGAAGTGATTGGTCTTTAGAAATAACACTGGGGACATTAAACACAACTGAGAACAAAATTTAATCTGTTAGATTTCAGAAGAAAACACAGCACTATTTACTGTCAATGCCATGGTCTGTACTGTTTTGAGAAAGCAAATAATATTTTAAAAATCAAGTATACTGCCTAATTACCCCTTAGAAATCACTGTGCAGTAGGTTATGAGAAAAAGTGCTGCACTGTAATTTTTCAACTCACGTTACAACATGTCACCAGAGAACATTAACTGCTTGGTAACACCATCAGGTCCAAAAGGTGTTCTCTGGAGTTGGAGGACTTTGATTTCACGTAAGAAATAACACAATAAAAATCTGTTGATGTAATTCCATTTCCACAGGCACAATCCAAGCAGTTTTAATGTCCTACTGACCTCTTATGTGCAGCTTGACTTCCACTTCTGTTCTACCTTGCTGTGTTCCCACATAGCAACTATAAAGGCCCTCATCAGTCAAGGTCAGGTTACTAAGTTTCAAGGAGGCGTTTCCACTAGGAATGTTCTCATGGAAAAGGTGTGTTCTGTGTCTGTAATCTGGGTCTTGACTTTTCAGCTGATCCCTTTGGTAGTAGTAGGTGTGCACTTCTCTGCCCCCTTTATTCCAGTAAATTACTTCTTCATCCCCAGGTGGGAAAGGACAAGGGAGGATGCAATCCTTGGAAAACAGCCCAGTTACTGTTTCCTGTTCTGTAAAACCTAAAGCCCGTAAATACAAATGAACAAGTTAAAGCTAGTCTACAAGCATATTTCCACCCCTGCTTATCCCTGACAAAAAATGCTCTGGCAGGCAGCACATTCCTACCAAGCATGCCAATGACTCTTTCACAGCTTTTCTGTAGCATCAGTCTCTGGGACAGCAAGGGTTTTCATTCCATTTAATCAATATTATAACACAGAGCTCTGGTCTTTGAACTTATACTCAGTTTAAGTAGATACTCTTGAGTAAGCGCCTACATATTCAAATCAGCAGACAGTCACCTTAGCACCTGAGCTTCGAATGCATTTCCAAGAGCAACACCTTAAAATCTTTTGAGCTGCAGCTTGCTACTGACTCAAATGTTCATAGTGCCATGTTGGAATGACCTGGGTTACCAACAACCTCACCTAGTGCCAAGCAGTTGTACCATCACAGGCAAAAAGGATGTGATGGTGCAAGTGACAGGAAGGACACAGAAAGTGGCAGGGACCTCTGTTCCAGCCCCTGGAGGTAATTAAAGTGTGGGTTATTCAGAATTAATTCACACCAGTGGTAGCATCTGATTGCTCTTAACATTAATTTAGGCCTTGCTGGCATAAATGAATGATTTTAAATGAATATTTTTAAAAACTGACTGCATTTAGCATCATTGTATGAACCTTCTTGTCCAAGATTAGACAACCTGTTAGGCCGGTAGCAAGTGTCAAGCTGCAGCTGTCTTCTTGGCAATTTTGATGCTCTCTCCAGTTCACCTGGCAGGGAAATCCAGATGAGTTTTCCTCAGTCTTCTCAGTGCAAAGTCAACCAATGTACTTCAAACCATTTTCAGTACGAACTGACAACTCCTGCCTGCTGAGCAGTCACACAACACACTCCACCAGCCAAGTTGTGGGGCAGAAATGTTGGCAGGTAACAGTTTGGGTGCTCAATGTGCTTGATGGCCATGGCCATCCATGCGGCCACCTTCCAGTGGTCTTTTTCTTTGGGAGTATTTGACATTACTCCAAATTGATTCTTTACCAATAGTAAACAGTGTTTGAACTCATTAATTCCCCCCTATTAACAAGTAATAATTGTCTTCATTATTTTTCATAAAAAATAGAGCTAAAACCTACCCCAAAGTATAGCACCTATGTCAAATAAGTAGATGAGAAGAGATGGTATTTTCTGTCCTTTCATGTCTTCTTTGGCTCACAGTACTCACATCCAAGTGACAGCATAAGAGGAGGGGAGAAAACCTGTTTAAATGCAGATAAAAGACGTACCCTAATTATATAATGTCCTTTGTACAGCTTATTAAGGATCGTAGGCCTTTGTATCATGTTCTTTCTTTGAAACAGTCTTATCCCAGATTTTGGGCCTTAAGGTCATAATGTAATACTACAAATTTTATAATGGTTGAGGCCCTCTCATTACCATGCAGTCCCCTGCAGATTGATACTTACTGTTTATTTTTAATAAATAGAAAGAATTTACCCTCAGTGTTCTTACAGGGTGAGGCAACATTAATCTTCATCATTCGTGAACAGGACATTATGGAAAAATGGTCAAATACAATTTCCAACAGGATGTAAGCCGTCCCTTGTCAAGCCAGATTTTTCCACTTCCTAAAATATATTTCTGATTGACACAACATTTTACTTACTGGGGTGGGAAATTTGCCTGCATTTGCAAATATTGCAGATATAAAGAACTCTTCACCAGATCAAAAAGGCATCAGGTGAACTTCCTAAAATGTGTGTACAGAAGTCTAGGATAGGAATGCAAAGGAGGAGGAGGAGGTTCTCCCATCGTATCTTCTGTTTTTTCAGTTAAATAACAATGAACTGGAAGTTCTCATGCACAACAAAAAAAGAATAATCCTGTTGCAACTGATAGACTGACTCTTTCTCTACCCAGGCATGCTATTCTAAAATACAGTGTAACACAGTGGAGGAATTACCTCAGGAATGAAATGGCTTGAAAAGAGTTTAAAGATCTTCCCCTAGTCCTTTTTTTCTCCCCAAAGGACAGCTATAGGTACCATTCCAAATCTACACAGGGCACAGGTTTAGCCAGACTTGCTAGCTAGTTCTTTTAATATTCATGACTGATTTTGACTGGTGTGACTGTATTTGCAGTGGCTGTGAATCGTACATCCCAGTGATTTTTGCATGTTATTTCTTTTGTAAACCTAGTGTGATTATTTCATGTATTCTCACTTTTCTATTAGGGGAAAAAAAAAAACAACCAAACAAACAACTGAGGGGCATCAAAATATTAAACCTGAGAGAGAGATGATGCAAGAATAAAACAAACACTTATGATATATAATTTTGTTCCATGTTAGCAGCAATTGTCAGTATCTAGTTTCTTCTCTCCTTACATTGGGAAGTGGTGTACATCATGTTTTATTGGATTTTTTGCTCATCTGCCCATCACTTCCGACTTGATTGATATATTGTGCTTGATATTTGAATTGCAGAAACTGCAATCAGTGCTAAATTTCTTAGCGAGTGAGTGCCACATTTTTAATAGACAGTCACGTTTAATTGGCAGTGGTGCTCTGAGAGTAACATGGTCCCACCAGTACCTTGGCGATGCCTTTGGGGGTGTGCTGGGTTTCTGTGGCAGGGTTTTTGGCAGTGGGGGAGGGAGCTACAGCTGTGGCCCCTGTGAGAAGCTTCTCAAAGCTCCCTCAGCTCAAAGTCAGACCCACCTCTGGCCACAGCTGAGCCCATCAGCGACAGTGGCTGCACTTCTGTGGTAACAAACGTATTTAAGAAAAGGGACCTGGGAAGGGGTTGGGGACTTGTGAGTATGGGTTACAAGGAGGACAGCTATGCAAACATCGAGGTCAGTGGAAGGAAGGAAGAGGAAGGGGGGGGGAGGGTGCACCAGAGCAGACCCCCCTGTATCCTGCAGTAAGAAGGCAGGGCTGCCCCCCCGCTGCCACCCACACAGGTCCATAGTAAAGCAGAGGCCAGCCTGGAGCCTGTGGAAGACCCCAGATCGGAGCAGGTGGCTGCACGTAAAGGAGGCTGGGACTCTGTGGGAAGAAGCAGCTCCCGCTGTTGTAGTTTGGTGCTGGGAGGATTGCAGCTTGCAGGGGTGAGCCACGCTGGAGCAGCTCGGGAAGGGCTGCAGCCTGTGGAGAGGACTCACATTAGAGAAGGTTCATGGAGGACTGTCTCCCATGAGAGGGGAGCCACGATGAGCAGGGGAGGAATGTATGGTGTTTGCCCCTCAACCCGAGAAGGAAGAAGCAGCAAACTGACTGCACTCCCCATTCCTTGTCCCCTGTGCCACTGGGGGAGAGAATGTAGAGCATCTGGGAGCAGAGCTGACCCTGGGAAGAAGGGAGGAGGAGGGGTGTGACAGTCAAAACAAAATCGTAGTTAATGCCTCATACATCCAGTGGGGAACTTTGGCAAAGGAAACAGTCTCTATGGAAATGCTGGAGTCATGCAGGTGATGACAAGGAGATGCAGTGAGAGGACAGGGGGGCGGGGGTGTCCCGCAGAGGTGGGGGGTCCCGCAGAGATGGGGCTGCATCCTTCTGAGGCTGGACTTCCCTGTCTTGAGCAACTCCATGAAGAGTCAACAGAGAGGCCGTTTTCACTACGTGTGCAGCTAGAGGAAGGGTCGGACAGCAGTCATGCCTGTTGGGTGGGAGAAGTACCTCCCCAATGACCTCCAAGCCCATCAACACATCTCCAGAAAGCCCTGAGGTACAAACTGCGCAGCCACCTGGGCCCAGAGGATTCTAGAAGCATGAACTGTGCATGACACCTAATTAGCCTAATGAATCTACGTACCTGCCCGGTGGAAGGGCAAGGGATTATAAAATGACACAAATCAAAGCTCCACATGGCACCCCAGGCCAGCTGGACCAATGCTGGAACCAGGACTGGTGACATCTTTCTCTCACCCCCATTTTTTTTTCTCTCTCCCTCTTTTCCTCTTTCTCCTCCCCCATTCTCCATTTTCCTCATACATGGCTTGTTGGTATATGTTACATGTTGTATGGTTTGTTGGTGTATTTATGGTTTGTTGGTACATGCTGTAAGTTTTGCCTCAGCTACCGTTTTTGTTGTATTTGCAGATTCTGGTCGTTAAATAACGAGTTTTTGCCTAGCCGCTATACTATCTGTTGTGCCACTGTCGAATTTCAAGGAAAAAGTGGCTATTTGGAGACAGTCACCCCTTCCACCACACAGAGATTTAAAAACCACCTCACCCTAGCCCACAGAGTGGGATGGGACAGGTGGAAGGTTGTTCTGGGATGTGGTGGTGCTTCTCATTGTCCCATTTTGTCTGTTAAGTGTTGCTCTTGTGTTTGAAGTGATGTTCTTTTTTCTTCCCCTGATGAGTCTGTTTTTTGCCCATAAGCATAATGGGTGAGTCAGCCCCTCCCTGTCCTTATCTCAATTCCTGAGCCTTTTGCTTTATTTTCTCCCTCCCAGCGCTGGAGGGGGGGAGGGGTGAGTGAGCAGCTATGTGGTGCTCAGTTGCCCTCTGGGCTCAAATCATGACAGGCAGCTGCCTCAAAGAGTGAAGACCGGACAGCACAGGCTGTCTCACGTCTTTTAGCTGTACTCCATAATGCTGTTCTGAAATACAGAGCTGTAACTAGTTAGCTGAAAATGTTCATGTTCAGCACAAATTTTAGCTTTGGATCTTCCCATTGTAGTGTGTTGAGAAAAATGTTTGTTGGTCTGCAGAAAAACCTGAGGAGCATAGGGTATGGCCAGTCTTCAGCAGGTCTGGAGTCTAACAGGCATAAAGTATATGTATGCTGACAGTTGGAGTCACACTGTGAAGTACTGAAGAAACATGCTTTTCCCATTTGTTACAAACCTAAGTGGCACAACCAAGAAATCGCGCCCTAAGGCTTTGCAGTGAAATATCCATGTGAAATTATTTATACAGACAGTGTACAACTGGAATTAAGATCACTGTAGTCATGTCAATTACTGATGCTCTAGTTTTCAGGAGACTTACTTCATACAGAACTACCACAGGCTGAACTGGCCAGCAGCTCTGTCAGGGTTTCTGAGAGCAAGGCAAGGCACTAAAACGCACATTCGGAGACAAACAGCGAAGTCAAGCACTGAACAGCTCAGTTAGTGGTAGGGGCAACACTGCACTTGCTTTGGCCACTACAGAAAACGAACATCAAAAGGCGCACACACACTCCCTTTTTCTTCTGTTAGTTGGTGACCAAACCACATCTCCTCAACATCTCTGAACCCTGTACTTGATCTGAACCCTGATCAGAGCACTCCCCTAGCATGCAGGCATCGGGATCAATCTCTGCTCACTGACCTTTCCTCTGTGACTCACCCTGAGGGCAGCCATGCATGCTGTAATGTTCTCCTAACCCTATCAAACAGAACTTACTTATTCCTTAGTAAAAAGGACTTTGACTTATCACTTTTCAAGGTAACTTAACAACGGCACATTTAAAGCACACGCACATACTTATGAGGAATGGACATGCCCAAAGATTTCAAGTTTTACCAGCAAGCAAACAAGGAAAATGAATGCGTAAAGTTCTAAAAGAACCCATGTTAATCACATACTGCTAAAATGTCGTACTAGCCACAGTGATGCTAGCTTTCCAGAATTTCCCCACTGAATCTTCAGGAGGAATTTCCTGTAGTAGAAAAAAAGAGTTAATTCTCTTCCTTGCCTCAATTAAACCCTTATGACTTAAATCCTACCTCCATACTTCAGTTGTTGAGAAATACTCCCAAAGGAAGAAGGTTCCCACATTCTAAACATCCAAAATTGTCTTAGGAAGCAGACCAAAAATACTATGTTCTACCTCAATATACACATATCATATTCCCCACCTCCCTGACCCCATACACTTATAACATCACAGAGCGGTTAGAATGTTGGGGATTTTTTACCTCTTCTGATTTCACAAGTAGCCAAAATTTCAGAGTCCTGTTGTTTCAGGCGTTTCTTTCAGGCAGGGTTTATATATATATATATATATATATACACACACACACACACATATATATATATATGAGTACACAGCTCTCCTGCAGCTGTGGGACTTTGCCTCTTCTGTGCTCCTTTCGCAACTAAACATGCAGATACCACAGTTCAAGTATTTAACATGCAAGTTCATTCCTGTTCCACAAATGAAAGCAAACATTTCTACAGTGTGAACCCTGCTCCCCTTCGGGCTTAAAAAGCTTTTTCTCATAACCATTTCTTTTGCCCAGCTTTGTTGAACAAACTCTTTGCTGGTAATTCCTGCAAGCTGTAACTAACAGAAGTAATTAGTTATTGTCAGAAATGTGATTTCTACAGCAGTAGTGATGCTGCTCAGGGATTGAGCCTCCGGTATTACGAGAACCTGAGCACCGCAACTGCAGTGGAGTCTGGCAATTTTATTACTAAGGCGGAGTGTAGGAACTTGATGCAGGGAGAGAGGTAGATTTTGTATGGGCACAGGACAAAACGAATGCAAAATACAAATTATCACAACGTTCTTCTCAGAAAGCTAGTAAACTGAACAGCAGGTGCCTTCGGCTGTCTGCAAAGTTAGGCAATTATTTTTAAGGGTATTTGACTAGCGCTTCATGTTCTCTGGACAATTCAAGCCTTGTGTGTGTGCCATCAGGTTTCCAGTAGAAGAAACTAATGGAATGGCTCAAGTATTTCAGGAAAGAGGGCTTACAAAAAAAAAAAAAAAAAAAAAATGCAGGAAGAAGCAAAAGGAAGCAGCATCTGTCCTCAAAGATCCCAGCCAGTGTTAGCAGTAGACAGGTGAGCTGTGCCTTCTGCATCCCTGGGAGAACCAGCTTTCCCACCCGCTCTCTTCCCCACCACCCCGCAGCAGTTCCAGCTGGCAACTGTAGCTGATCTCCAGCTCCAACTCCTCCTCTCGCCAAGACTTGTCCCTACACCCAGCCGCAAACGGCCATGACCTTCACCATCAGCTACCCGAAGGTTATGGCCGCTGCCTCCGCCAGGCCTGCACGCCGTAAGGTGCTCACAGCTCAGTCTTAAATCGGGTAAACGTTTAACTGAGGAACCAGCACAGGGGCGCCGCGCTTACACACAGGGCCAAGGCTGAGCCACCCCCCGGGCAGAGAAAAGCAGCAAAGCTTGAATAAATATATATATATATATATATATATAAGGCAGCAAAGCTTGAATAAATAAATATATATATCTATCTATATATATATACACACACACACGCACCCGCGTGTTGAAGAGCGATTGCGGGCCGGGCCCTGCACCGCGAGGCTTTATCCGCTACAAGCGGTGTGACGAAAGACCCGCCCGCTCAGGCCCCGGGGCACAGCGACGGCGCCATCTTGCCCCGCCATCCCGGCCGCTGAGCGGAAGTGACGCGATCGACACTTTACAACCCCGCCCCCTCGGCGGCGGCGGTCGGCACGGAGAGCCCGGGCGAGGCGGGGCCCCGGCGCGGAGCGCTGGGCAGGTGCTGGCCCCGCCTGCCTCGCCCCGCCATTGGTGGGCCGAGCCGGACAGGGGCGGTTTCTCGGCGCCTGATTGGGGCAGGAGGCGGGCCTCGAGGCCGAGGCGGGCGGGGATTGGCAGGGCCGGTTGCCTTGGTTACGGTGCGGCGGCGGGGGCTCCAAGATGGCGGAGGAGGTGGCCGGAGGTGGTGGCGGGACCCGTCGCGGAGCGGCGGCGGGGGAGCGCGGGGGGGGGGAGGAGGAGGAGGGGGCGGTGGCGGAGCGGGGCCCTGGCGCGGCCTATCACATGTTCGTGCTGATGGAGGATCTGCTGGACAAGCTGAAGCTGCTGAGCTACGAGGAGGAGGCGCTGCGGCGCCACAACATGCGGCCGCTCTCCAGGTGCCCCTCGTCCGCTCCGCCGGGCGGCGGCGGCTCCCGGGGGCGCGGGAGGCCCCGGGGAGGGCGGCGGTGGCGGCGGCCTCACCCGTTAGGCGTTCGCCTGGCTGCGGGCGAGGGAGTCGCGCCGCGCGGCGCGAAGCTCCACGCGTGAGGGCGCGAAGCTCCACGCGTGAGGGTCCGCAGTGCTACGGCGGGGCCGAGACGCCGCGGCGGTGCCGGGGCTCGGGCGGGAAGTCTGGCTCCCGGGTGGCAGCGTGCCCGCGTCAGGGGAAAAACTGCCACTTCCCCGTATGGTTTTGAAGCTTTCAAAGCGAGAAGTCCTTCAAAAGGTTGAGATGTGATACGTAAATAGTCACTTGGCCTTCCTTGCCCCCAGTCGGTAACCTGGGTTTCAGTATTTGCATGCCAGTCCGTCTGTGCGAGGATTAATTCTATTCTAAATGAATTTCTTGTATTCAGAATAACTATCTGTGGTGTATTTGTAAAGGGGCTTGGACCCATTGTTTTTAAGTCTGTATTTTAATCTCTAGCACATACTTGTTTCACACGTTACAAATATTTTTGTTGTTGTTGTTTGGTTTTAAATCGTGGTGGGAAGCAGGAAGCTTTAGAAATGGGACCAGTGTGCTTCCGACATCCCCCCTGCCCAAATAACTTCCAAGTCCATCTGTCAGTTTCAACCTGGCTCCACAGCAGCATGTCCCACAGTTAAGCTTCTGATAATTAACAGTTTGATAGCGGGGAAAAGAACATAGTCTATTCTCTTGCTGGGAAGGAGGCTCAAGTATGAGCTCAATGGCAGTAAGCTGGTTTTATCCAGCTGTCTGACCATCAATATATTTGGAGTAAGGAAGCAAACCTTTGTCCATTTTAGCAAGCTGCTGTGTCTGTGAGGGGAAGAGTTTGGTTCCGAGTACCCGGTGTGCACACACTTTATGTTTTGGGAGGACTAACTGTGGTCTGGTTTTATTGGCCAAATACTCGTTAGGACCACATTTATCAATTTAGTGTGATCCAAAATAGATCCAGTTTGTATACTTTGCGCTCTAAAGTGACCCAAAGCACAGTAGGTGAGGATGGGTGGAAGGATTGCTTCAAAAACATGTTCCTGGTCTGAGCTTGCACACTGATTTGGGTACACTAGCCTCTTGCCACTCTTGAGGAATATGGGAAGGGGAAGAGGTTGGGGAACTTTAGAGCAAAAGGAGCTGGATGTATTGCTGTTGGCAGGAAGAGTATTCGGGGGAGTTAAGAAGGGATCAGGAAGTGAGGTTACTGCAGTATAGTGGTATGGATGAGGGCAGTATGCAGTAAAGAGGACACATCTGTTTAGGCAATGAGGCTTCAGTAAATTTGTTCTCCCTTCTTCAAGGAAGTGCCATTCAAGTTTCCATTCAGTCACTAGATGCAACATTTATTTATTTATTTTTAGAGAGGCATAATCGTATGCCCAAATACAGATACCTTTCTTTGTCTAAACTCCCTTTAATGGAAAGCAATGTGCACTTCTAAAGCATTTTTCAGTGTGTTCTAAAGTAGATAAAAGATGAGACAAATCCACCCTGGCTTCCAGTGTCATGGGTAAAGGTATAAAGCTTTAGCAATGGATCATTTTAATTTTGGTTTTTGAAGTGAGCTGTTTGCTGTGTGATGCTGACAGTAGTTATCACTTTTGCTAATCTATCCAGAGGATGTTTTTCAAATTTAAATTTTGTCTTGCACTGTAAATCACTTGCCATGTGAAAAAAGCCTGAAATTTAGCAAAATCTTAGCTCATTTATGGCCTACAAGTTACTGGTGATTGCAGATCTCTGACTTTTAATTCTTTTGAGTTTTTAAGTACTTTACATTATTCAAGGGACATTTGAATTAATCCATTGCATAGACTTAGTCAGTGGTGGTGTTTTATGAAGTGATGGGATGGGTTCTGCATCTCTAACATTAAATGAGAACAGAATTGAGCTTATCATGACTTGAGTCTGCTCAGGTAAATAAGAGGAGTAACTTGGGTTTATGTGGGAATGTTCATGTTTAACATAAGCTATAATCCTGCTGGCAGGAGAGGGGAATACCCAGTTGCCATTTGATTCCTTGGAAGTCTGATGTTGATGAACAGCTTACTCAAAGCAGGAAACAGATGAGCTGCGTGTAGCAAACTTAGTCTATTGTAGTTATGCGTGAAACTAGACGTCCTGAATTTAGTTCAGATGGATCACTCGTGAGAAGGGCAGTTAAAGAAACTGCTTTCTAGCCTGTACTGGCCTACAATGCTGTAAGAGCTTCAGGAGCTCAAAATATTTACCATTTTTCCCCTTTTTAAACAGGCACTACTTTGCACTGCCCACTAATCCCGGTGAGCAGTTCTTTATGTTTTGCACGCTTGCTGCTTGGCTGATCACTAAAGCGGGACATCCCTTCGAACAGCCACAAGAATATGATGACCCCAATGCAATCATATCAAATGTACTCTCAGAATTGCGATCATTTGTAAGTGTTGAACATGCTGTTTTCCCAAGTGTATTTCAAGCACGTGCATCACATATAACAGTAATAACAGTAATGACACACTTCCTCTCCTGTCTGATTATGTTCCCAAGGTCTGGACAGACTTTTCCTATCTATGTCTGTACTATGTTAATTAGTTAATTGAAAGTTTATGCAGTCTGTACCTCCTTGCTAATTTCTTGGCACTACACAATGTTGTATATGATTCCAATTAGTTTTGTTTCACAGTATGTAAAATGGATTAAATTGGGCTTACTTCTTGTAGTTCCACATATGTTGCTCATCTATAGCAGCATAATTTGCAGAGATATTATTGAAATTTTATACAGTGCTTGTGATTCTTCTGACAAAGTCAATGGTATAACTCATAGTGAAGGAATGGTGTAGAATGGTGTTCATGTTTTCTTCATTTTCCTGTTAAGGAGTAAAAGGTTGCATAAACTGTCAGGAACTATTGGGATTTTTTTTCAATTCTTAAACAAAAAACCCTGAAAGTCAGGAAAATATACTGACCTATGGGAAGTATGATCTTAAGGAAGATTATACTGTGTCACAGCTGTGAATGATGTTAAGAACACCATTCTCTAAAGGAGTTAAACCGTACCAAACTAGGATGTTTATTCTGCAGGACAGCAATAAATAAGCATAAAATATTTTAGAAATCAAATCTGGAACAAACAAAGCAATGTTGAAAAGCTGGTCATTAAGTCTCAGTACTTGAGTTTCTCCGTAGCTGTTCTTACCTTGCCAGCACGTCACTTGTGTGCTGGACCATCTAGCTCCCTTGCAGCTTCTGACTTTTCTGCTCCCAATGTGTATCCTCCTACCAGGTGCCTTAAGGTTTTTATGCTGCATCTGTTCCTTGGGTTGTTCTGTTTTTCCTTCTGTTGCCTGACTGGAACTGCACAGGGGAAGAATATGAATTAACATTAATAAAATCTTCATACACAATGGACACTTTGGTTTTAGTGTAAAAAAAAAAAAAAATCTCGTTACCTCCCTGAGAGGAAACTTGGATTGATGGGGAGCCATTAGTAAACAGCATATCTCTTCATTTTAGGGCAGGCCTGTGGATTTTCCTCCCTCAAAATTAAAGACAGGTTGTGGAGAGCAAGTGTGCTATGTTCTTAATTGTTTAGCTGAAGAAGCCTTGAGAAACACTGGCTTTAGCTGGAAAAGGTATAGTACACTTTTAAGCATCCTCCCTTATGCATTGTTTTCCAGCAAACAAATGTAAGTTGTAATTGTAAAGACAAAACATAGTAATGACTAAAAATGTTTTACTTGATGTTTCCTGAGATGCAAAATTCAACTAGGCTTGAAGCAATGGGACCAATTAATTCCTAATGCAATTTCACACAATTTAGTCTATTACCAGAAAGGATGAGTTTAGGCCATTAATAAACTTAGTTAATTAATAAAGATTTGACTGATGACCTTTTATATTTTGTCATTTTCCTATGCATAACTGCTTGTTAATCTGACAGTTGAGTTGAATCATGTAATCTCCTTTTAGAGCCTATCAATCCGTAGCTAAATTCTTGACCTCCTCAGTCGGAGGTATGCACAGTATCTGATTGTGTTACAAGTAGGCTACAGTAACTTTGAGTATTTAATCCAAAGGAAACCTCAGGAGAAATTAGATAACAGATAATCTAAAGTAAATGAGTATTTCTTAAAAAGTGTTCGTCATTTTATTCCTTCCCTCTGATGGGTTTTGAAATGGATATAGCGAAGTAATTTCTACCTTGGAAATATTTTACTGTTACTTCTGTTGAGCACTCAAATTCCCCTGTAAACTGAAAATAAGTCTGTGGTGACTTGCACTTGAATTTCAAGAGGTTAGATCAAAAGAGAAAACAAATCTAAATTTACTCCCCGGATGTCTTTGTAGTATGAATGTATTGTACTGCTATGTATAATACCTAACGCTTGCTTTTAAGACAGTCAAAGATAAAAAAAGACTTTTGAGGCTCAGTGTTAACTAATCACTGTCCAGTCATATTCCACATCATCCATATTTCTTATGAAATGTTTTGTTTGCTTAGGAGGAATTTACAGAGGTATTTTCAATTTACTGTGTTTAAAAGTTCTGCTCTTCTTTGATCTAATTTTAGGCCAGCATATCCAACAGAAGAGCTAGAAGAAGAAGAAATAACAGAAGATGATGCAGAATTAACACTTAATAAGCTGGAAGAGGATGTTGCGGTAGGTTTACTTGACTTGTTTTGATTATTTTAGTATTATTCAACTATGAAGAAAATTTTACTCGCTGATCATTTTGTTTGGCTTTGTTCATGAAGTTTTTTCTATTAGCTGTTCAACTGCTCTTCTTTCCTGCATCTCCATTCCTGCACGGTCAGCTTTTCCGCAGAGTTTTTTGTTTCCTACCAGATAAGGTTGTTAACTCTTTGGGTCAGAGCATATGTTCTTATGTGCATTTATAGTGAACGTAAAGTGAAGTGGAATCTAACCATACATTAAAATTACACAGATTCGGGATTGTTTTCTGCTGTTACAGGCTGTTAATGTTAAATGAAACCTCAATCCCTGTTTACAGAATTGGCTAATATTTGTTAAAAATTTTTCCAGCACTTAATTAATAGAGTGCTCACTATTGTAACTCAGACCTCACTGCAAATAGGAGACAGTAACATTGGTACTTAGTTGGTCTGAAGATCTGGGAATAGAGTAGATAGAGAAGAACAACTGGAAACAGAGCATTTGCTTAAAAACACCAACAAAGACCTAAATAAAGGTTGCAGAATTGCTTCTGTAGACAAAGGTCATGGCAGCTCATCGCTATATAGTTCATGAATGAAGTGGCAATAACCCATCATCTGACTGCAGGATAAGTCTTTCTGTGTGCTTTGAAATACCTTTTACCAACAAGATGGCAATCTTTGAGGATCAACTGTCTTATTTATTCCTGCTTTTTAACTGTAACAATTACAGTGAAGTTGTCATGTCTATGAAACAGCCTATGAAATACACCTGTAAGTTCAAATATGCTTTTAGGACTTACTGATGGATGGATGTTGAACAGAAATTGTTTCTTGATGATTGATTTTCTCAGAAGATTGTTTTGATGAGAGTTGGAGTCTCACTGTAAACTGGTAGCATAATGTGCTCACAAGACATTATCATTTTCACAGGCCCCTGTCGGTGTCCTCAAAGTGAGTCTTTTTACAGCTGACTTAAGATTTTTCTGGAGAGGGAAGTTAACTGAAGACAAAGTGAAAATTACAGAGGGAAGTTAGTTTGACATTTGATTTCTCCAAAAGCTGATGATTCTGTGCAAAATAAATGGAGCTCAAAACCAAAATAGTGAAGGCTGTAAGCCTGGAAGTGCTCACTTGCAGGCTTGTGTCAGTAAATAACTTGAGGAGAAAACAATTTTCTAGACTGTTAAGGCCCAGCAACACTGGATAGAAAATGCCACAACTATCCCATGTTCACATTTTTCAAGTGCTTGGGAAAAATTAAAGGTCATAAAAATTGGAAATAGAGGGCCAATAATGTTATCATATGGTTTTGATTATAGTCCCAATTTACATGCTACAATAGTGCACATGAATGTAACAGTTGAAGAGTTTGCTTCTTTTCTTCCTCTTCTTCTAGTTTTCCTAAGTATTGCATTAGTTTTCTTATATTTATTTGCCAAGAAAAATTCCAAACTTCTATTCTTAAATTTCATACAATATGCAAATACCATGATGTGGATGTCTGGTTGCATTTTTAGCAGCTTTGAAGTCTCCACAGAAGCTTCAAATAGGAAAACAGTCAGCTGTCTGCTCTTTTCTATGTCTCATTAAGGTCTAAGCTATTTAAATGGGGAAGTGGGGACAAAACAGTTAACTAAAACACAGTTGAAACCCTTCAAAGAACCTCTGGATTTGCTCTCACATAGTATTATAGGTCACAGTTTTCACAACTATCATGTTCTATTAGCTCTTCTGAGCTTGTGTGTTAATAAAACCATTGAGCTAGGTTTACACCAAGTGGACAGCAACTTTTTAGAGCCCTTACTGGTTCTACAGGGATTGATTGTATGCCGATGTAAATTTATTGCCCCTAGTCCATTGTTGCTGCCAATATATTGCTATATCCTGGATGCATTAGCTGTATCCGTAATTAAATTTAGCAGTATTTCCAGTAGTTAAATGCTAACAATGAGGTTCACTGATTCTTCTGGTTTTCATTCTTCTAAATGAAATTGATGAGGCTGACAGAGACAAGCCTAGCTCTATAAATCCTGGAGAACTGGGTAGCCTGTATTAGGTAGCCAGCAGTAGCCAGAGAGGCTGGGCGTGCAGGAAATCTGCATAGTTTGGTTTCCCAGTTCTGAAAGCTAGTCTTGTTGTTATGGTAGTGTTGTAATATGTTGTTCTAAGTGCTGCATAAATATGCATTGTCCATTTGGCAAAATATAATGCCAATCCAGGTACCCTTAATTTCTTGCAAGTATTTAGGGGATTAGGGGACAAACATGCCAGAAGAAAATAGTGGTCCCTGTTAGTTAAAAACTAGGTAGGATAGAGGAATAAGATGTCAGATTTTCACCAGGACCTGTGTTATTGCAGTTTTCGTGATTTGTCTAGAAAGGAGGTCGATGATGAAATCTGGCCTTGGTAGAAAAGATGGCAAACAGAAGAACTACAGAAGGACGAGGTGTATAGGGGTGAAATGTATGGGTGATAAAATGGCAGGTGAAATTCAATATAGATAAATGGAGGGTAATGCACAGAAAAAGCATCTTTGACTTATGCAGTGATGGGCTCTGAGTTGATCATGGTCACTGAGGAATGCAATTTTGAGACTATACTAGAGAATTCTATAAAGCCTTCTGCCCAGTGTGTGTCATGGACAAGAAAACAAATCAATTGCCTCACTTTGAATTGTATCATTCTTCACACTTAAAATGTGGCATCATTCTCTAACTCCAAATATGTAGTGCAGACAACTTCTTGAAAACTTTGTTCAGGTCTGGTTGCAATTTGGTGTTTTGTTTGAAGTTTAATCCAAAGCTTTAGGAAACACATAAGAAATTACATTTACCATACAACTATTGATAAAGGACCGTTTGATGTGAGTGGGCTTAGGCTTTGGGGGTTTTTTGGTTGGTTAGTTTAGTTTTTAAATACTGTGGCACCCTGAAGGTAGCTTTCATCTTTCAGCTTGCCCCAGATACTGTGTCTTCTCATACGATTTTCAAGTAAATACAGGCTCCATTATCATAAACTTTCCATGTCCTGTTTTGTCCAGAAATATGGAAATTAATACCCCTTGTCCTGTGCTCACGCAAAATAAAATTGTGGAGAAAGATTGTGCAATACTTACTAAAGTCTTACTTTGCAACTTTCCTTAAGGAAGAAGAGTCAGACAGTGAAGAAAATTTTATTGACCTGAATGTTCTAAAGGCACAAACATACAGATCAGTAAGTTGTTACCCATCAGTGCTCTCTTGAGAAATTTTTATATCTGTAGCAGCAATTTATTTTTGTTGGATTTAAGTCTGACAATCTGTGTATAGTCTAAACTTGAAAAAAAAAATTCCAACTGATATGAATCTGCTTATTTTAAAAGAAAAATATGCAGATAGTTTCTAAACTGATATCAGTGCAAGGTTGCTGGAAACATTTGCAAGAAATTTTTGCAGAGACTTTTAGGGAAACATGTATTGGTTTCTTGAATATATTTTCATTCCCTCACCCCCACTATTTCTGGAATGTATTATAATTTCTTATTATATGCATTTCATTCTTTTCAATTTATAATATGATTCGAAGCTATATTTATTTTAATTGTTAATCTTTATGAATTCAAAGAAAGCCATTAAAGAAATATGTTACATCTGTAATCTAGATAATTCTGCATATAAATATTTTTTTTGAATAGGAACACTGTAAGCCATTGTAAAATGATTTCTAGCAGTTCCCACTGTGCATAACGATAACATTTTGTATATAAACTCTGTGATTTTTACACAGGACATGAATGACACTGGAAAGCAAGAAGAGATTTTACAGTCCACGACAGATGCAGCAGAGTGGAATCTGGAAGTGGAACGTGTGCTTCCACAGCTGAAGGTTACAGTCAGGACTGACAATAAGGTATGCAAGAATGGACTTGTGTGTGTACACGTGGTAATTAAAGTGTGATTTCAGTCAATGTTGTTTAGTTTCCACTTACATTGGGTTTTTTCCTTTGTCATGCCAACGGTTGTGAATAGTGGGCTCTCCAGTGCTATCTTGTCTGAACCTTTGTCACTTTGACCCCAGAAGTAATACTTTTCAGTAGTTTTTTTTTCTAATATTATATAATAACAATTTTTCCTGCTATTTACAGGGCACCTTATTACCATATATTTATTACCATATATTTATTGAGAGGAAACTTCTTAAACCATTAAACATTTCCAATATATTCCCACTTCTGAAAAGTTATATCCTCAGTTTAGCAGCTATTAAAACAGCTCCCTGGAAGAGAGCTGGTGAACTTATCTTTCAACTGTTCTATCTGTCAGTTACATGAAAGACTGATTGTATGGAATTCATCATGCTGAACTTTACATGACAATAAAGTAGGACTGTATATCTGATCTAGTCATCATGTGCTCTCCTTAGGTTTAGCAAAAAGAAGTGAGTAATTTTTCCACTGATTTTACTTAGCTATCCAGATAACTACCTCAAGATGAAATTCCTAATTTCTTTGGAAATGTACGTTTCTCTCCATAATCTATTTCAAGGAGTCTAGAATGAGCAGCTTAGAAGCAAACATCTATCTTTGGCAAGTCCAAACCTAGGACCTATTCCTGGCATTGCCATAAGCATTCTTTCTGGGAGTTTGTATAGCACACACAGATCAGTGCAGTATTGAAATTGCTCATTTGTAGTGACCCAGCTAGTTGGGGTGTTGAAGCAATCTGCATCAGTGATACAGGATTCAATGAAAAATAACTGTGTTGCCAAAAATAGGCTAAGCTCTCAACTCTCTGCTAAATTGTTTCCCTGTCTTGCACTATACTGCATTCTTCTATGTGAAGAATTGCCTGGTTTGGGCCACCTTTCTGTGATCCTTGGCAAGTCCATCTGTTCCAGAGGACACGATGCTTGATTCTCACAGTAAGAAATTAAAACTTAATAAAGACATACATGGAAAATTAAAGCCACTGTGGGAACTGAGGATGACTAGCTTCCAGTTTAACGCACCATCTCTTGGCTTTACAGAATACATCAAAATGAACATAAAAAGATGATTCTTCTTTTTCTAGCTTCTGTGCTTTCATGCCTTCAGAAATAACTGGAGAGAAGTGCTTGGCCTTTTTTCATTCTACAAGAAAAGCATCATATTATATTTCCTAAGCTGTGCATGTAAACGTAGTACCAGGAGAGGGTTGATGGCGTTCATTCAGAACTTTGTAAAGTCCTGGACAGGGGTGGGAGGTGTGTGTGTGGGGGGTGGTGCTTTTATTTAAACTCCAAAGTTTGGCAAATTGTGAACAATTGTCACCAGACCAACAAAAGATTTTGAGTCTGCTGCAAACTTAAAACCCAACATAGGCACATTTTCTCTACTAGCCTTTGTTTCATTCCAGAAGAGAATAGCGGGCAGCAGCGCGGTTGTAGCCAGCAGGCGAACCTCACGGGCTGAACGGCTGTTGGAGGTGCTCGGCTGTGCTCTTCTGAGATAGTGAGAGGGAAGCACCCATCCTTTGGTAGTTATGTGTGTGCCCTACGCAGGGGGATAGCCTCACTTCAAATCTATGAAAATGCCTGTGATTGAAAGGTGGCACATGTTTAAGTGTGCAGTTGTTTTAAGCCAGGATTTGGTTTGTGCCTGTATATTATAAGTGGCTGTATCCTCCAGGAGCTCAGAGATTGGGAATTCCTCTTGCTCAGGTGCTGCAGCCCAGTCCCTTGTGCCTGGGGATGTCCACAGCCCAGACTGATGGATGCAGCTGCTGCTTCTTTCCTGTTTGCAGATTCAACCAGTAGTGAAGTTAAGCATGGATCACACAGACACACAGAGGACCTTGACACGGCCAGCTACACAAACAGCCATAAACAAGGCCCTGTCTTTAACAGCACTTGTAGGACTCCCATAAAATACAAGTATAGAAAGCCAAGCCACCTTCCTGCTCTTCAGCTAATTAAGATTGAAGTTCAGCAGTGAAAGCACACACACCCCCTTCTCTCTAGATGCACAAGCACACACATGGATCTCTCAACTATCAGCGTGGTCCTTCTGACTGTCTGATCTGCCTGCTTGTACCCTGGGCCCTCTTAACTGTTTCAGTACTCTTCTACTTGCCAGCTAGTCCAGCTTGGTGCTTGCCAGCAAACAGATGCGCCCACTCATGCCCTTGTCTTAGGGGCACTCTGCATTTGTGGGTCCTCCAGCATACCAGCATATACCCTCTGCCTGCCTCATGCCCCAGCCTGGATCTAGGGCCTACTACTTGGTAGCTAGTTCAGTTTTAAGTCTGCTATTGAATTTTACACGTGCACAGGAAGTTTAGAGAAGATGCAAACACTTGCTCGTCCCCACCCCAGGAGCTGGCACCAGCAGCACGGGCTTGTGACCCATAATTCTGCTCCAGCTGCTGGCATTGAGCCCCTTGCTTGCTTTACTCAGACCAGTCCTTCCCAGTAGCTGGAGTTTGGGATACGCGCCAGTTCTGCCTTGGTGGCTGAGACCCTCACCTGCTCCCGTGGCTGGCACCGAGATCCCCGCTCTCTCTGGCTGCAGACACCACAGTTCTGGGACACACACAGCCCTGGTCTGATTCCAGTTGCTGGCCCCATATCCCTTCTCACCAGCAGCTGGCACTTAGTCCTTGCAGCACTCATACATGCACGAGATGGAGAGTGAGATTGCACAGAACGATAAAAGAGAATTTACTAAGATGATAGGACAGACTGCAGTGATCAGGCACAGGGCTCAGACATGTGGACTGACTAGCAGGAGTTACACATGACCAACCCCTCTTCTACCTTTCTCTGTTCTCCACTTTGTTCCTTCCCCTGCACCTTGCTTTATCTCTTTGCGTAGTCACACCAACCCTCCTCCTGACTCTCAAGAACCCCACCACGTTTGCATTCTTAGCAGTTGCAAGGGCCAGGTTTACCTTATTTGAAGTGATGCTTGCCGTTACTTGATAGTCCATCAGTTAGTGTGACTGATGAGCTTTGTTTCTTGTCCTTGTCTCCCTTAGTGTTTGTCTGACAGGTCTGTGTCTCTGTAGGTCTTGTTTTTTTTCCCTCCTCCTTTTCCTTATCATCCCATTTTGACAAGATCCTCAATCAGGTAATTGTACTGATACAAACATTCTCACACTCCACATGCCCTTATCCATTAGTGTAACTAGCCAGTTGTGTTTCTTGTTACTGCCTCCGTTATTGTTTGTCGGTCAGTTTTGTACCTCTCTGTTTTAACATCCTTTTTGGCAGGGTCGTTGATCAGATAATCTTACTGAAGGAAACACTATCACTTTCCACACATCCTTACAGTACCTATTTTACAAGAAAGTCTCCTATGGTTTGATTTCAAGCAATAAAAGGTTTATTAGCATCACTATTTTTTTAACACCAAGACCAGTACAGTTCCAAAAGCTTAAAAATCTTAGAAATACTTTTTAGCAGGTTCAGAAACACAATATTGAAATAGCAGTAATGCTGCAGTGCTGCTACTCTGCTTCATTTTGAACTCACAGGCTGTTTGCAGCTGTGCTTTGTGTCTGAGAGATGTAAAACATTTGCATTGATAAGGAAAATTTGCGATAAAGCTTGGGAACTGGAATTCTAAGTAAATAATAATTAATAAGCAATTAAATTATAAATAAAAGATGCCTACTTGTCAAGTTAAAACAGCACCTTTTCTCATCCCCCATCCCTGAGTCCATGTATGTTACCTATGACCTAGAAGCTGCAAATAATTTTACCCCTTCTAATTTTGTCCCACAATCAAAAAACATTTAGGTATTTCTGACTCTTTCGTTTCTTTCCATTCTTCTTCTGATAATGGTAAGGGCTAAGTAGAAACGGAAGATGTGATTGTCTGGAACTGGTAGGTGTTGGGCATTTGAAGCACTCATTTAGTCTAAGAGGAAGCTCAGCCAGTGCAGCCATAATCAATATTTTCCATATTTGCGCCCAGAGTGGTTTCTAACAGAAATAGTTCCATGAAGATCAGACTCTAAAAAGCCTAGCTACTATGGTATCAGTGAGGATGTCAGTGTTTGTTCATGGATCTGAGTGTCACATGTAACATTCAGGAGATTTATAAATTGCGTCACATTAAGGAAGGACCTCTGGATATGAATGTGGCAGTGGCAGAATGATACATGGTAATAGTGTAAAAGAGAACTGACCCTGCCTTGCATACCAGTCTTTGTTTACTAACCAGAGAAAGACAGAAGTTGTACTTGCATATGTTTTACTTTGTGGCATCTTTTTTAGGATTGGAGGATTCATGTAGATCAAATGCATCAGCATAAGGATGGAATTGAATCTTCTTTGAAAGAAACTAGGGTATGTCTTGTATGTGCAGAATATTTCGCTGATCTGTCAGTGTTTTTATCTTTGATATACGTGAAGAACTAAATTGATTTTTTTTTTTCCTTGATTTTATATGTGCTAATGCTGTAAAACTAAAAAGGGAAATGTACGATAATGATGATAAGGGAAGTGGGACTGGCAAAGTATTTTGTGGGAAAGAGTTGTATATGGGAGGATTAACAAGGATATTAAAGTTCATTAACATATGCATTACCATAAGTACATCCTGACTACAGAGGGCAAAATAGAATAATACAATAATACAGTCTGAAAATAAGTGTTGACAAAAACCCCAAATACTGTCAAATGCTGTTGTTAGGGTAACTTACTGACATTGACATTTGTAATTAATTGAGGGGAGAGTGATGGAAGCAGTAAAGCTTGAAATACGTGTTTTGGAGGTGGGCAAGCCAGGACACATTAGGAATAATTTTTTGTTGGCTAAACACAGCATTTCTGTACTACTTTTCTCTCTCACTTGTAGGCTTCCACATCCTTTCTTAATTATAGCACTATTTTAATACTCTTTGCATACTATCTGTATACTGTCAACCCACAGCGTATGATTTTTCTAGGGTTACCTTGACAAACTCCATAATGAAATCAGCAGAACATTGGAAAAGATCAATAGCAGGGAAAAGTACATCAACAATCAGTTGGAGCACTTGGTTCAAGAGTACCGTTCAGCACAAGCCTTGCTGAGTGAGGTAATGCACTGATCTTTTGTTGTTGCCTTCTCCAGTATTAACTTGCTATTAAGTGAGGGTGAAGGCAAAGAAGACTCGGAGGAGTTATCTGTGAATTCTGCTGTTGGATATAAAGCAGGGGAAATGTTGATTGGCTGTCAAATTATATAGTTTTCCAAGCTAAACTAGCAATTTTTATTCAACTATTCTACAGGGGAAAGTAAATGGCTTTTGCCTGAATATTATGTAAATCTGTTGCCAGTCTTTAGCAGCTAGTAAATTGCTAGTTCTGCTTTCCTTGTAAAGTTCACACATCTGTGATGAGTGGAAAAACTACAGTTTCAGTCCAGCACTCATTTCTTATATTGATTACTTGTGCTAACATGCACAAAGCACTCTGATTACTTTTTTGCTTCATTTAGTTTTCATGTCAGTAGAGTGCTGTTTGAGAAGCTTTTTGATCCCCTAGTTAGGAGGCCTGTATAAACTGCCATTTGGCTAGCCCTCCTATTTGTGGGCATGACGTTAAAACAAAGCTAACAGGATTTGACCTCAGTGCTTTCTGCTTGCCTTACTGTTAAACATGAAGAAACTTCAAGGTAGTAATTTACTGTTGATGAAGAAGTATTCTGTGTTTCAGGATTCAATTCTGCCAAATTTTCTTTATGTTTATTTCTTCATGTACATGATTAGAAAACATATTCTTACTGTGCATGTATTAGGGCTACTAGAATTTTTAAACTGCTTTAAAGTTTTGAATAATAGTCACTACAGGAGCTGATGTTTCAAGCCCTGTCCTCATACGTGTAGTGCTGTAAATGTCATTGGGACTTTGTGGAAGAGTTTCTGGAATTGGGACATGTGAGAGCAAGTTTTGGTGTTCTCTATGAACTATCTGCATACAGCTCTTCAGCTTTGTCATTACAGCAAAACCCATGTTTCTTCCCAGGCTAAGGAGAAGTACCAGGAGGGAAGTGGAGGAGTAACTGAAAGGATTAGAGTGCTTTCTGAGGTAAAACACATCTTCACATAATTTCTTTTGCTTATTTTATAATGATCTTCAGAGAGTTGGTGTTTAGTTTTTGTGTTTTTATGAACCCAGTTCTTTCTGATTTGTTCTCGTGCTAAGGATTCATCTGTTTGTTTAGTGGAAGTGATCTAGTCTAGTCCCTAAATTTTAAACCCAGGCTGCCATTGTTTTTTAACTTGTGTATTTGGGCAAACTATTGTGAGCTCTTAATTTCCCCAGCTTGTAAAAGAGGGTAAATGTTCTGTATTATATAACATGTGTCCTAGAATTATTGAGGATTAATCAAGTCATGGCCATAAAGTCTTTGGAAGAAGAAAACCTTCACTCTTATTTTTAGTTAAAATTAACAATTTGAAATTTTCATCTTCTAAGCACGTAAAAGCAATACTCGACTAAACAGTAACTTTTCCATACCAGTCAAATTATCTTAATACCTAAAACTGTTTTTCTGTTGTTTGTTGTTTTTTTTTCATTAAATCAGTGCTCTGACAAGTTTAAAGAAAAATCCCCAGACTCCTAACTACCTCAACATGTTGAGTGTTTCATGGCATTTCATGTAGAATTACTGACTGATTTCTAAATATTTCAGCCCTTTGTCCAATTCAGAAATTTTTTTTTTAATGACTCTGGGTTTGAAAAACCCACTTTAGTTATTAGACGATAAAGTGTCTGGAATAGTCACATAAAATAGATTACACCATAAGAATGTGCTGGAAATTGTAAAACAAGTTTGAGATGTTTTAGAATAGAATGGAGTAGTTCAGTTGGAAGGGACCTACAGCAATCCTCTAGTCCAACTGCAGTAGGTAATACAGCAGTTTAGCAAGAGTTTTCTAGCAAAGATTTCTGAGTGTATAGATTCTGCAGAATTAGAGCTTCTTTCACTCTCAAGGAAGTAAGTTTGAAAAAGGGAGTACCTTATGATGATTTCAGATTTCTAATGTGTTTGTGCTTTGGAAGTTACTGACTGATTAGTAATGATGAATATGTTACCAGTTGGCAGCCTTCAAACTATATAGATGCAGTGGTGCATAGCTAAGATAAACTAGACACACTGGATGTTACTACTGATCTGCTTTCAAGTGTGCAGTCAAATCTCAGTCCATTTGGCGATAGCAGTACCGCTGTAGGTGTGCAATAACAATGCAGCAATGCTTCTTCTTTGTTACTGAAGAGACTCATTGAAGCCTTAATGAAGGGCCATTTCTAGACAATGGCCACTGTCTACGCCATCATAGACAAAAATACTGAATTATTACCTAGACTGTGCCTTAGAATCCATATATTTGATTTTTCTTCGTTGTCTACAAATACAAACTGGTCAATAGACAGTCAGTGCTGAAATGCACTTTTAATGTTCATACACACATTTTGCATACCCGTACCCCTGCCATTGCCAGGAGGCTTGACTGCTGCACCTTCCTCTGCAGCAGTGCTGTTTCTCAGGTTTCCACTGTAACCTGCTGAAGTCCTGACACTTCCAGAAGGGCAGCCAGCAGAGTCATCTGGTGCATCTTGGTCTGCGGGGATATTGGTTCCCATCTTCCATCCAGCATCATACTGCAACACTTCCACTGTTGTTTTCATTGGTTTGGGATGCACAGATTCTCAGTTACACCATGCTGTTTGGCGAGGTTGTTACTCTCTTGCTGTAATTCTTACAACGTTAATTTAGTTAAAAGTTAAATTAAATTTTTCTTAATGTTTGAAAAAAATTGCTCCTCCCTATACAACTCAGATAGACTAGTTAATTTTTTCTTAACACAGATATTCAGCAGAGAATTTTTTTTGTTTTCTTTTTTAACTTGACATTCATCTGGCTTAATTAAGAAAAAATATCTATTTTAAGATTACAGAAGTATTAGAGAAAGTAAAGCAGGAAACAGAAGAGAAAGGAAGCAGTATGACTGATGGTGGTAAGTATGTTTTTGCCTAAAACCGAACACTTTTTTTCTCAGTGAAAGGACATCATTTGTCTTTTATTAAAGAAAAATAAAACAAGACCAGAATGAGTGACTAGTCTAAAATACCAATATTAAAATTTTAAAAGGTGGCTAAGAAAATCAGGTTTCTAAACCTCTTTGAAAAGGTTATGTAAGTCTGCAGAAAGTAAAGATTCCAGGATTCCTCCCTTTGGTAAATTATTTGTAAAAATCCAAAAGAAAAAATTGATTTTGTGTCTGCTTTGAACAGTTATCAACCCACTGGAAGAAATTCACACATTACAGGTTCAAGCCCTTTTACTCTGAAATACTTACTGACAGTAGCTGTTAGATTCCCTGACTAAGGCTGGCTGGAGTCAGTGAGAAAATTCATTTTGGTGTTTTGATGTCTGGACTTTTTTAATATTCACCTATTTAAAGTAGTTTCTCTAAGACTTGGGATTTGGTTTTTGAGCTTTTTGCTGATAAATGCATTCTGTTGCAAATGTATAAGGAGTATAAATGCAGAAATAAATTGATGCATGTTACAGTGGGGCTAAATATGCAAGCTGTATTCATATTTAACTGTAATCATTACATCGAATTTATTTAAGTAGTTGTAAATGCTATTGTTTAAGGCAATTTTGTGCACCCTTGCTTCACTGTGATGGAGCTACTCACCTGCTTCACACCACCTTTTCTGTATTATGGCATGGCCAAGGGTCGGGATAAAATCTAGAGTCCAGAATTATAAAGAGAAGCTTGATGCAGCGGCAGCATCCCTAGGGTGATATTAGTGGGAAGCAAAGGATTAGAAACAAATTATGGAGCACAAAACATGTTAGTAGCTCTTCACAGGTAAGATGACCTCCTGCTGAAGATGTCTTCAGTTCCCTACCAAACCCCAAGTCATGTATCGGAATGGGGCTTTCAGCTGAACAAAACACATCATTGACAAACCTATCTTAATGTCGATGCATATCTATATGCCAATCTTAGATGCCAAGAAGACAGCAAAATTGTCATCACCTACTTCTATCTTTAAGTGTCTTGCATATGAAAAATGATGTATCAGTACAATCATGCCTTTAGAGTAGAACGCCCTTTTGTTCATTCAACTCTTCAATTTTAAGGAGTGAGTTATAGAAAATAATGCTTTTGTGTTAAGTAGCTGACCGAGTTGCACTGTTTATCTTTGTCTTGAACAGCTCCTCTAGTGAAGATTAAACAGGCCTTAACAAAACTGAAGCAAGAAACCATTCAGATGGACATACAAATCGGTGTAATGGAACACACGTTACTCCAGTCAAAGCTGAAAGAGAAATCCAATATGACTAGAGATATGCATGCAACAATGATTCCAGAAGCCACAGTAGGTGCCTATTAAAATTGTTTGGAGCTGCCTTGGTTTGCCCAAAATACAGTTTTCTACCATTTGCATTTCTGTTAGTTTAGAGGTTTCCTTTTTGTTGGAGGAGGGGAACATTCTTTTTTCTTGTTTCTTTGTTAACAAGATGCTTGTCATGCACTTTTAAGAAGTACCATGCACGCTTTGGACTCAACGTGGAGCCACGTTTAGTTTTGTGCTGTAAAGATTTACTGCAGATGCCTTCCAAATATACTAATAAATTCTTACTAATAAGCATATCTCTACTTCATTGGAGAATGTTATGTAGTGTGAAAGTCTACAGAATGATACTGACAGCCTGTAATCTTGATATTCTATAGTGCTGAAAGAAAATTGCTTGCAAAGGACTTGAAAGGAATTTAAAATGTCTATTATTGCCATTTATGTACATTTAGTATAAAGTACTTAATTGATGATATTGAAATAATACAGCATTACCCTTTCTAAAATGTTGGGACAAAACTGGTATCAGCTGCAAGTAAAAGTAAATTGTTGCTTTGAAGTTTAGGAATGAAGCGACAAACTAATGTTTCAATGATACTGGCATGCTCCTAAGGCAGCCCTACACAAATTTGTGAATGGACAACCACCCTATTCCTCGTTTTTTGGTTTGCTTTTGGAGTTTTTTCTTGGGGGTGGTCCTCAAGACCAGTATGAATGGCTTTTTTACATTGCCTCTAACAGAAGCAATGATAACAAAATCTATACAAGACCAAAGAATGTGGAAACAGTACATTTGGAAATTACTGTTGGCTTTCTAATTTTTTTCTATGTATCATGTTTCAGAGTCACTTAATATTAGCATTGGGTCAAATGCTGCTTTCATTTATAGTATGTAGTAGATCTCTGTGGACATCATTGGGATTACTCTTGTTTTCTGTTCTTGTGTCAGAACACCTGATTTTGATCTCTGTTAAGGAAAAATGTTGCCAAATCTAGTTAATATGGAATGAGAAGAAAAATGTAGGAGGAAGGGGTTGGAAATGTAATGGCAACAGGGAGCTCCCTTTGTCTTAGTAAATGCGTAGGTAGGAAGTGATTCTAGTCATTGTTGGTAGTGAAGGAGCGTGGAACAAAGAAATACTTTATTAAAGTACTAGTACATCCTTTTGGTTGCCATTGTTCATAAGCTGTGGACAATATTGGTACAAGTCCAGTGATATTAAAATCCTCCTGTAACTTCTGTAGGCAGTTCCACTCATCTCACAATTAATTTCTCTCACTTAAAGGTGAGCAGGATTTTGCAAAATCAGTGGATCAGTTCTGTGTCTGAAAGTCAAGACACTTGACATAGTCGGTACCATGAGCCCGTTTTTTAACTTTGTTGTGCTTCAGTATTTCATTTGCCAAAAAAAGAAAAAGCCCTAAACCCATCAGATTTTAATAAGTGAAAAGCTGTATGTAAATGTCAACTATTATAATTTACCTGTGCAAGCAGCTGCTCAAAATCTCTATGAATCACACTGGAAATTGGTTTCTAACTTCTTTTGCTGCCTACCTATACCCTCCCACATACAGCTTAAATTAGAAAAGTTATTATTCATGTTCCCTTTGTTAGGTGGTATTGCTACTGCATATTTACTTTAACAGTGGGTTTACTTTAATTTAAGATAAAGCAATCCCCTTCTGCATTGACTACAAAGCAGCTCAATGATGCTTTTGGATTGCAAATGTTGTGCTGTATAAATGCTGTTTATGTAAATACTTTCCAAAAAAACCTCCTCCTTCATGCTAGTATAACGAACACAATTAATCAAAAACCTTCCCTTATGAATTGAGCTTCTTATTATATTAGAATTGAATCTGTTGAGACAAGCATGGCCAAAACCCCTCTAATATGGTAGAAAAATCACCAGAAGAAAAGCTAGCCTCCTTTATGCCAAAGTAATTCCAAAATAGTGTGCTAATTATATGTAATTAATCAACGTTGTTTTCATGGTACTGTCTGAAGCTGCATTAATCTAAGCAGGACACTTCTGTTGTTGTTGTCTCAAGAGTGATACGTGGCCCTTAATTGTCATCTGGTAAAGAATGGCATTTGCCCATTTAGGCCCCAATTTGAAAACAACCTTACCGATCCCGCAAGTGGCTACACCACCCTCCTTTAAAAGAGTGAGGAGAGCTATGAGGTCTGTCACAAGCAGCCTGAAAGGCTGTTCTATAAAAGCAATTATCTGTGTAATTATTCCACTGCTGGATCAGTGCAGGAAGCAGAAGCCACATCAGAATTAAATCACTTGATTCACATTTTTTCGTGCACTGCTCATTATCTAATGCAGTGTCAGAACTGAAGACGAACAAAACGAAGCTGTCTCTAAGTAAAATGTATGTGAAGCTGTGCTGTGAGATAAAACCAGTCTCTCTTCTAAAGAATATTTGAGGCAGAAGGACTGTTTGTAAGAGTCAACTTTATAGACAGCTCTCCTCTTCCAAGGTATCTTAACATTTTCGGTCCTCTGAAATACACCAGCATGGAGGCACGGTGTCACTGTTCCATGTCACCTAGAAGCCAAATGGAAGCTAGCTCTAGACAGATCCAGTAGTGGCAGAGGGACAAACAAGGAGTTTCATCTGCTGAATCTGGTCAGAGGAGCCACAGGCTTTGTCTTTGCCATGAGAACTGCAGTAGTTCAGTCTCAGATGTGACCCCAGGGAGAGCTGAGACTTGGCTCTTGGAGACGTGTGGCTGCGAAAGGCTCAGCAGTAGCCAGCCTGCTCTCCTGCAGGTACTCCCCAAAGCTCCAGAAAAGGAACGCTAGCAACGTATTACTTCTTAGGGTTTCTGCAGCTCTGAAATCCCTCTGAACTTTGTAATATGACTCAACGTCTTATTTCCCTGGGCTATCTTATCTCTAGGCGAGGATGTTAAGGATGCAAGTGCCCTGCTAGGAACTGGAAGTAGCCTTAGTGCTCAGTGCCCTATTAGAGGTGCTGTTTACGGGCCACTTAGGACGTTTGAGAGTGATGTTGCATGCATTACCGTCTTACTTTAATAAATACAATATTCCAACCCCCATTCTCTTTGAATGTCAGCTGACAGCATGATTTGCTGAATGTTTTGTGCTGTTCTGGTAAAAAGTTCAAAGTAAGGGATGGTTTTTTACCTCTTAATCCAATTCTCTCATAGAGAACCTTCTGTGGAGTTAGTGACTTAATATTGAAATTGCAAGAGTTATATAGTGTCTTTCAGCTGTATGCCAAGAATTCAGTATTTCAGTAATGGCACAAGTTAGTAATTTGAATTTGCATCGGTGAGTGCTGTGCAGGAGGGTGAACCAGAAGTTCACGTGAATTTGAGAAACCACTGTTACAAACAACTCGCAGACCTGGTCAAAATATTTTCACTCTCACTGTATCTTGGGAGCCAGTAAGTGAAAGACCAGCATTAAAGGCCTCCCCCTCTTCCCCCACCCGAAAGAGAGGAACTTCAGGGAGAATTCTTTCTTGAAAAGGAGAACAAATGCCCACCTACTATTAAACATTGCCACTTTTTTTGCCATATAGCTGATCTGTGCACCATGACATACAAAAAAATCACTGTATTGCTAATTGTAAGTTACAGTAAGAGCAATTAAGTCATCTCTGCATGACCTATAATAAAGACTAGGCATAAATGAAGAGCCTGCGTGTGAACGCTTCCAGCTTCTGAGCGCTTTGAATTTTACGTCCAAATTTTGCAGTCTGGGCTTCTCTCCAAGTTTGACAAATGTTAATTAAAAAAAAAAAAAAAAAAAAAAGAAAAGAAGCAGCAATGAGTGCGATGCTGTTTCTTTTGACGCCGGCTCTCGGCCCGAACGCCAGCGCTGCAGCGTGCCTCCACGTGGCAGCCACGCGTGCGCACACGTGGTGCGCGCACTTCTGCCCCTCACTTCCCCAAAACCAGCAGTAGGCTTCGGTGGCCTGACAGCCTGTGGACGCCCTGCCCCGGGTCCTGCAGCGCCACCGCTTCCCACTCTCTTGTTGGTGTATGAACGTTTCAGGAAGTGGCTGGGTGTTTTCTGACAAGGGCTTGAAATAAAACTTGGGAAAAGCCTGGCCTATGAAATCAGTACCTGTGAGCTTAAGTAAACAGAGGATATGAGCACCAGCTTCTCGGCGGGAATACTCTATAGGTTGGGAGTTTCCACAGGAGGCTCTGAGGTTGCAAAAGGTATTTTTGTCTGCTATTTCCTCCTCTCAATGTATTTCTCCCTTCAGCAAACACCATTACCAGGGCTTTCTCACGTATTAGCTAATACTTGGCTATTATTGCTCCAGGGCTTGGCTGGTGTTGCTGGAAACATCTGTCTTTCAGCCTGCTAGTAACAGCCCTGCCATTTTGCAAACAGTTACTCCCAGGCAACACTGGTACGAGCAGGGTTGAGAGCTTTTTACCGAGAGTAAATAACAATTTGAATATGCCAATCGTTCACTTACTGGCTAGTTTTACTCTGTTCTTTTTCATTTCTGGTCTTAAGTAATTAAGAGTGGTTGTATCTTGGTACTCCATCCCAGAGGTGGCTGTTGTAAAAATCTACAAAGATTAATATTTTAGGGTCAGAAGTACAGAATAATTATTTCTAATAATATTCTTCCCAGTCACTCACTAACTGCAATTGTTCATTCAAAATATTTTCCTGTTCCTGTGGCTTTCAAAGGATGACAGTACTTCAAATGACATCTTACTGTTATTCGGTAGTAACATGAAGAATTAAACCGTGGGTTGTAGGCATCCCCTGGATCAGAAGTTTCCCATCCCTCTTCTAGGTTTAGGGCTGAAGTTTCTTGGGAGGGGGGATTTTGTATTTTTGAGAGTTCTTTCTGTCCTTCTCTCAGCACTGCTGGTCCATGAGCATTTTACCTCCTTTCAAAGAACCCATTTGGGAAGGAATACAAGCCAGTAATCAGACCACAGGAGACAGGCTGTTTGTGAAATTTTGCCGGAAACTAGTGCCAAAAAATGGTGCAGGAGGTTTCAAGAGGTTTGACAGCATCGGTTGATCATTGTTTCCTTTGTTACAGGAAGTGCACAAGTTCCTGGTATGATGGCAGGAGGGATTTCTGCCGAGTTTGGCAAATGTTATCAAACAACGGTAAAAACAATGAAAACTCTGTGATCTGCAGTGTCATTCATTAATTTTGTACTAATATGTCTAGCAGCCATTTCATTACAGCCTTCTGCAGAATACCCATATTATAAGCTCAAGGAAAACGTACTGAAGATTTGCATCATCTCAGCTGTATCATTGTGCTGGGTT